ATTGACAGTCACGGACGTGCGGGACCAAGGGAAATGATTCATGGAATTTTGGAATAAGGAATTGATTTATGGAAAAGGAAATGGACAAGGGATGTATATTAGACTTTTTCGGGCGGCAAGGGCGCGGCCCGAGTGTTGAAGGAGGCTCGGCCGAGCCATTTGCGCCGGCGCGGGCGTGGGAAAGGCGGCCCATTAGGGCGCGCAGAAGGGGGAGGGAGCGGTCCGGTGGACCGAGTGCACCTCGCGGGTTCCAGGTGGGGCCCGCTTGTCGGTGACACGGCCCACGGTGGGATGGGCGCACGTGAGGTGCGGCGCTAGGGTTTCGGGTCCGCGTGGCTTAGGAGCGGTGCACCGGGTGGACGGATGGCGGCGGGCCCACGTGCAGCCGCACGGCTTGCCGTAGACCGTGCGCACGGGAGGGAAGACGGAGGGAGGGGGCGGCTGACCGGCTTGGCCCGGTCAAAGCCGAGGTGGCGCCGACGTGGCGCCTACGTGGCAGCCACGCGGGCCGGCGGGAGGAGGAAGAAGGGGAGGCCGAGATGGACGGCGGACGGTAGCCGTGTTCACCGGAGCAAGCGCGACGGATTTGGTCTTCGGGGAGCACACCAGAGTGACGAGGGCGTCAAGAAGGAGCGAGCCAACGGCTCGGATTCGCCGGAGGGAGTTCGACGGCGGTGGAATTCGACAGCGGCGGCCGGCGGCGAGAGAAAGGGGAAATCACCGAGGGGCAACGAGGACTCAATTAAAGGCGGCGGGAGCATCTCCGGTGTTCAAGGAACTCATTTCCGGGGTCGGATGGGTCTGAGCGGCGCCGTGGAGGTCCAGCGACGAGAGGCGGCCTCCGGGGGTGGGCGACAATGGCGGCGGGGCCATGCCGGGTGGCGGCGGTCCTTGAGGCGGCGTCTACGCGCGTTCGGTAGGGCTACCGAGCTACCACACAAGCTAGAGGGGACGAGGGTGAGCAGGGAAGGGGAACGGGAGGGAGGCACTACCGAGCCGGGACGGCGCGGTGACGAGCAGCCAATGGCGCGGAAGCGAGCTCTCCGTCATCGGGCCGGGGAAGGGGAAGAAGATGGGCGCCTAGAGTCCCGCGTCACGCGTCCACGCACGCACCGGCTCCCCCGGTGCTCGGCGACGGACGGCGATGGCATGAGTAGGGCGGAGGCGACATTGGCGCGGTGGCGACGAGAGCGAAAACGAGAGAGATTGGGAGATGGGGCGGCTCGGGTTTTATAGAGGTGGGGGATGCTGGTTTTGGGAGGGAGGAAACCGACCTCGTGGGCGGTCAAGGAGGGGCGGTCAAGGGGGAGCTGGCGGCAGGGCGTGGTCACGGGCGGCAGAGGGGGAATGGTGCCGGTCAGGGAAAAAGCAAAAGGGGAGGGAGGAAAGGGGGCTCTGCCCATGCCATTCAGGGAGAAAGGAGGAGGGAGAGAGGGCTCTGCCTCCGGGAGTTGGACGCACGCGGCTTGGAGCGGCCGGGCACGCGTCGCAGGGGGGTGCGGGGCTGAGCGGCGCAGGCACGGCAGGGCGGCATGGGCGGCTGCATGGCGCAGGCTGCCAGGGCTGACGCGGCGGCGACCGGGCAGTCGGCCACGCGCGGGCGAGCGCGCGCGCGACGCGGAGGGGGGGTGCGGCCGGATTTCGAACGGCGGCGGCGGGAAATCGGCAAAGCGGCGGTGGTCGACCGGCGAGAGAGAGAAATCGAGCGAGAGAGAGAGAGAGGAAGAGAGACGACGCTCTCTCGGGCGGCGCACACGCATTGCACTTGTGAGGAGGAGGGAGGAGATAGGCAGAGGGGAGATGGGCCAAGGGGGACAAAATCGACCAACAAAACTTGAGGGAAGCGATTTAGACTTTCACAGAGAGGGCTGATTTGGAGAGAATTGAAGCTTGGATTTGAATCGGGATTGGGATCTTGAGGTGGGGAATTTTTGATGAGGCGATTTTTGATTGCACGAAGATGGACCAAAGGAGAGATTTAAATTGAGATCTTTGGTACAACTTAGACTCAACACTCAAAGAATGAAAATTTTCGCAATTAGGATTTTGCCGAATTAGTTTTTAACGTCACGCAAAAAGCGGAGCGTTACAGTGAGGGCGCGTGAGGCCGCCTCCGCGGCCGCCCGGCCACTGCAGCCTGAGAAGTGGGGAGGAAAGCGCCTGAGAAGTGGGGAGGAGAGGGGAGGAGGCGGATCCAGAGGAGGTTGAGAAGCGGGGAGGGGAGGGGAGGGGCGGATCCAGAGGAGGAGATAGAGGAAGAGATGGGAGGAGGAAGAGGAAGAGATGGGGTGAGTGAGGAGAGGAGGAGATAAAGGTCAGAACTTATTAACTGATCCTCCCGTGCGCCTCGGTCTTCTCGATCTCAGGCGGCGCATGTCGATCTTTTTTCCCGGGACTAAAAATAAATCTTTAGCCCCGGTTGGTGTCACCAACCAGGACTAAAGATAAAAGAGGTCTTTTTTCCCGGTTAGTAACACCAACCGGGACTTAAAAATAGATCTTTAGTCCCGGTTGGTGTCACCAACCAGGACTAAAGATAAAGGAGGGGTCTGACACCACCTGCCGTCTTTTGAACCGGGACTAAAAATGATCTTTAGTCCCGGTTGATGTTACCAACCGGGACTAAAGATTCAAAAGTAGCTCTAATCTTTAGTCCCGGTTTTTATTGGAACTAGGACTATTGTGAATTTCGGCCGACCGATCAAAGATGGTTTCTCCACTAGTGTGGATTCTCGTGTTGATCATCAAGTGGCCCTCACACTTCACAGGAACGTATAGCGGAGGCTGATATCAGTACGTTGTGCTAGTCATCTTGTTATAACCGTACTGATGTCTTCTAGGCCTATGGTGTTAAATTGATATATCCATACAATGAACTGTGGCTGAACATGTATATGCTACAGATCCACGGACTGTAGATCAACACTGATATGCAGGGTGCTCATAGTGAAAGTTGCTACATATACATGCATTGTACTACGTACATTCACACTAGGCTGCTCGATCGAGCTCGATCTAGTCGATCGACCAATGTTGCATTTTAATTATGGTCCATCTTCAAAGGATGCATGATCATTGAAGTCTGAAGATATCTTCTTTAATCCTTGTCTCTTTTAAGTTGGACATGCATGTATCTTTTGCAGTAACTGCATGTAATACTGTTGTGCAGTTACTACAGCGGATATTGGCGTCTTTATGTTATGCACAATATCTTCTAGATTTACTATGGCTTGATGCGCTGGTATGGGATTAGCAATGTGATAACACCCACCATTTTTATAGAAACCCTATTTGAAATATCATTATTATAAAATTATATATTTATTCCTTCTTTCATTGCTAGGATGTGACAATGGCTATGTTGGTATATATGTACTATATCTGCTACTACCTCCGTCCCAAAACATAAGTATTTTTAGCTATAAAATTAGACAACTATGTGTCCAGATTTATAGCTAAAAGTTGTTATGTCATTAGGAAAAAAAGATCTCACGGAAAAGAAAAAAAAAGGGCTTAAAGTAGAGGAAAATGCATTAATTGTCGTCGCAATTGTTGACAACTGAAATAGACAAGTTCGCTGTTGATTGATCCCTCTTCTGTTCTTGTCACGTGATCGAAACAAGCAGCAAAGACCTCTGCTATACTTCTTTCCAACCCCTCAGTATAGATCAGTATCCTCTCTTCCATCAGTCGAAATCATCCTCGTACCGAAGCTTGCTGAACCAAGTTATCGATCGCACCTTCAAACCGATGCTGTCCGGTGGAATCTCCAGTGTCGAAAAGCTTTCGTTGTGGACACATACTCCACATTTTTTATGCCTCCCAATCCTACATGATACTGTAACAATATCATGCATGCACCTGTTTTTTTCGAATGCGCGAAAAAGATTAATTGCACGTCAGTATATTAGAAGTTGCTTGCATCTAAAAGAAAAAAAAAAGCCATACATACATATATATATATATATATATGTATGTATATGTATGTCATATCTACAAGGAAACTGCATGGATAGGATCGGTGCGCGCATTTGTGAAACTACAAAATTGGGAGCTTTCTCAGGGAAACATCATAGGCTGAAGTGTGTAGGGATGTAAACTACAAGCTACAATATATCGCAGCTTGAATGGACTTTGAGATCCATATGACAGTACTGAACTAGTTAGTGAGCTGAATAATACGACATATATAGAGAGTATTGAGAGTTGATAGCTATTACTCCCTCCGGGTTGATAATAATTATTATTTTGAACAAGATCAATGTAAAACTTTAAAATCTCTTTAACTCTGAATAATTTCTAGAATTACGGAGATTATATGCATATCTTAAAAAGTATTTCAATAAAATCATATATATTTATTAATATTTTTATATATATTACAATAGAAAATAGTGGTTAAAGTTGTTTTTTGAAAATCGTGTTCTTGTTTAAAACGACGAGTATTATCAACACAGAAGGAGTACCTAGCTAGCTATCCTTCTCAGTTCAATCTATTATTGTACAAATCCTCCTTTTTGCAATTCCGTTGTACAAATGCCTCTTCATGGATCAATTCACTTGCACTAACTGAATCTCACCAACCAATTCATCATAGTATATAATACGAGGAGCGTACGCGTCTCCTAGCTTCCAGCTCGATCAGCTACGGCAAATTACGCCGCCGCAACTGTTGGATTAAGGTCTCGCTGTCGGCATCGTCGACCATATATATGCCAGCAGCTTAATTCTGTCGCCACTATTCAGAAGTTCATATCTTTTTTTATCTTTTGATTGACAACGGCCGGAACCAGTATTTGTATATGAATATATGGAGAGAACTGACCAGGGTGGTGTTGATGATTGAGATATTAATGTTGTTGATTGCAACAATCGCGGTGGAGTAGACTATATATATACACACTATAGGAAATTAATTTGTTACTACCTCTGTTTCACAATGCAAGTCATTCTAGCTTTTTTCACATTCATATTAATGTTAATGAATCTAGAGATGTATATTTATCTAGATTCATTAACATAAATATGAATGTGGAAAATGCTAGAATGACTTACATTGTGAAACGGAGGAAGTAGCTCCTTAATTAAAGAACACCAGGATAATATATGCTGATAGCTGGATATAGTTGACCTTTCACTGAATATGTCGACTGGCTACGCATAACTGCAGATGAACTATGATTGATCAAATGCATGATTAATTAATTAACACAGGTCAAACATTTGCTCTTTCATTAATTTGTCCTGATCCAAGAACTGACTATGCTCTCTTCTCCCCTCTCCTCGAGCATCAAAGCGATCGATCGCCATTGGCTAGCTATCTGATTGATTGTTTGGCCACGATCATGTACAGCAACTTCAAGGAGCAGGCGATCGAGTACGTGAAGCAGGCGGTGCAGGAGGACAATGGCGGCAACTACGTCAAGGCGTTCCCGCTCTACATGAACGCCCTCGAGTACTTCAAGACCCACCTCAAGTACGAGAAGGACCCCAAGATCAAGGACGCCATCGCCGCCAAGTTCACCGAGTACCTCCGCCGCGCCGAGGAGATCCGCGCGGTCCTCGATGGGCACATCGGCGGCGGCGGCGGCGGCGGCGACTCCGAGCAGGCCAAGCCGAGGGGCATGCTCAGGTCGGCCATCGTCGCCGCGAAGCCGAGCGTCAAGTGGAGCGACGTCGCCGGCTTGGAGAGCGCCAAGGAGGCACTGCAAGAGGCCGCCATATTGCCTATCAAGTTTCCACACTTCTTTACAGGTGAAGGATGTTTAGAGCTTGTTCAGTTTGTTGTCGAAATTAACCTAACCAAAATATCTTGGCATATTTTGGTGTAACAAATTTTGGCAAAGTTGAATAGTACTAAATTTTGGTAGAGTGATAATGACAAGAGTGTATTTGTTTTGGTACCATACTAAAATTTAGTAACACCTATAATTAGTACTACCTCCATCCCAAAATATAACAGCCTAGATACATATTGTCCAGATACATTGTTAGGATGTGTCTCATTCCATTTTAGGTTGTTATATTTTATGACGAAGGGAGGAGGTTTGGATGTTGTAACAAAGTGGTCAACAAGTAGTCCCCCCAAAAAAGTAATCAACAATCCCATAAAGCCTTATCCTATCTTCTTCTTTTTTCTTTGAGCAAATTTCATAGTACTGTACTAATGTTTTGTTGCATTATCTGTTTGCTGCTTATTTCTGTTTCAAGTGTTAATGGTGAAAAGTTTGAAATTTAATTTGATTTTAATATTGGAGATGATAATGTACTTTAGGCAAGCGAAGCCCATGGAAAGCTTTTCTTTTGTATGGTCCACCAGGAACTGGAAAGTCTTATTTGGCTGAAGCTGTTGCAACCGAGGTTGATTCAACATTCTTCAGGTCACAGCAGCATCCATTATACTATCTCCGTCCTAAATGTTTGACGCCGTTGACTTTTATAAATATGTTTAATCGTTTGTTTTATTCATAAACTTTTGCAAAATATGTAAAACTATATGTATAAATAAAAATATATTTAACAATGAATCAAATGATAGGAAAAGAATTAATGATTACTTGAATTTTTTAAATAAGACGAACGGTCCAACATATTTAAAAAAGTCAACGGCGTCAAATAAATATTTAGGGATGGAGAGAGTAGTTTACCATATGTATTTCTCTTTCTTTTCTTTGCTGCTACTGCTAGTACTAGTGCAGTATGCTTTGTTCTTTGTTTCTGTTTCATGTTATGTTAACGATTTTGGTTTTCTTGCAGCATATCTTCATCAGACCTTGTTTCAAAATGGATGGGAGAAAGTGAGAAACTAGTTGCTAATCTTTTCCAGATGGCCCGTGAAAATGCTCCCTCCATTATCTTCATCGATGAAATCGATTCTTTATGCGGCCAACGTGGAGAATGTAATGAAAATGAAGCTTCCCGGAGAATCAAGACTGAACTTCTTGTGCAAATGCAGGTGAGTTCTTGCATCCTGTACTATGAACCTTCCTGTCATATGCCCTGACTATGATCTGACTAGGCATGTTCTATAATTGTTATACTAATTAAATTGTTTACATACCCTTTAATTTGTACCATACTCACATCTCTTTTTTCTTTGGTAAATTAAATGTAATGTCCAGGGTTTCGATAATAGCAATGATAAAGTTCTGGTTCTTGCTGCTACAAATATGCCACATGTTCTGGACCAGGTTTCAGAAAACTTGTCAATATTATTCTTCGCTATTTTCTTAATAATGGAAATTTTTATTCTTCACTATTTACATTTTTAAAAACTGCATTATGCAACTTGTCGATTCATTATCTCAGGCTATGCGGCGACGGTTTGACAAATGTATCTACATTCCCCTACCTGACTTGAAGGCAAGGAAAGACACTTTTAAGGTGCAAAAACTAATATATGTGCGATGCAACTTAAGAAAAAGAATTTGTACGTTCTGTCATGGCAAATAATTAACTAATCTTTGATCAAAGCTTGGGACCTTTTAATTCATCCAGATCCACATTGGGGACACACCACATAGCTTAACTGAAGGTGATTTTGTGAGCTTGGCCTATCAAACAGAGGGGTTTTCTGGCTCAGATATTGCTGTTTGTGTAAGTATATACTCTCTGTGACATGTGTATATGATCATCTAGTAGCAGAGACCGGACATTTAAACCATTTACAATTTACATTACGTAAATAGAAAACTCGACATGTGTATGTATGTACTCTGTATTGCTACATCCATTAAGCCATGTTTAGTTCACGCCAAAATTAGAAGTTTGGTTAAAATTAAAACGATGTGATGGAAAGGTTGAAAGTTTGTGTGTGTAGGAAAGTTTTGATGTGATGGAAAAGTTAGAAGTTTGAAGAAAAACTTTGAAACTAAACACAGCCTTAATTTCTTGCAACAGGTGAAGGATGCGTTATTTCAACCTGTGAGGAAAACACAGGATGCCAAGTTCTTCATCAAGGCAGACGATGACACGTGGACGCCAAGTGAACAGAGTCAGCCTGGTTCCATACAAACCACCATGCAGGAACTCGCATCAAAAGGTTTGGCTGCCAAGGTAAAGAAATGATCAATCAATGATTACTGGATTATTTTTGAATCATCGAATATTTGTAAATGTGTGATTATTGTATGGGTGTAGATTCTTCTTCCACCAATCTCAAAGATAGATTTCGATGAAGTCCTCGTGAGGCAGAGACCAACGGTGAGCAAGAAAGATCTAGTGGTGTATGAGAAGTTCACACAAGAGTTCAGTGAGGAGGAGATATTTATTTCCCCTCTATCTAATGAAAAACCACAATCTCATGATGTTCCTTTCAAAAAAAGTGAGGAGGAGATATTGACAATGCAGAAAAAAACGAAAAGTGAGGAGGAGATATTGACGATGCAAAAGAAAACGAAATCCCCTATGAGGAATTTTCTTAATGTGTGGGCTAAAGCATGCTGTTGTGCCAGTACAATTTGAGGTATGTACAAAATAAAATAAAGATAAGGGCAATAAGTTAAGGAGATGTGTGTTGCACCTTATCTGTACGCCAAAGTGTAGAGAGTGAAATATGCATATAATTGCATCATGGTAGATCATTTACATGATTAATTGTTGCTTTCAGTACTACTGAAATAATTGTTTGTTGGCCATATATCCATGAATAAGACAATCATTATTTGTCTTTAAATAAAAATATTTTCTATATTATTAATAGCTAGACTCTAGCCTTGCCAACAAGACAATCTTGCTAAAACGGGACAGCGGCATCACCACTAGATCCATGGTGAATGACGGTGATAGAGAAGCCGATGCGGATGGACGACGGTGGAGGAGAAATGGAGAGAAAGAGGGTCAGAGAGGCATCTCCACTACTACGCCACCCTGAGGTCCTAGTCCTTCCCTATGGCATCTCCTCCCTTGCCACCCCTTGTAGGTCCAACATGGTCTGAGTTCACTGTCAATGGCCTCATGTCATGGGCTCCCTCTTCACCACATGCTCCCTCCACCTTCCTCGCCGTCTTGCATGTCAGGCACCTATGTGGGTTGAACGCCGCAATGGGATAGGCGGGCCATATTTCTCCGGTGGGCCATCGTACCTCTCTTCCCTTCCCCCTTCCCCCCTCCCCTCCATTGTCGGAAGATGCACGGCCACCGCGATATAGCATGGCTAGATCCAGCCTCATCCTATGCCTCACCGGCCTTTGCACGCCGCTGGGGAAGGATGGGAAGGCCCCATCGTTGGCGGGCCATCTTCATCGGTCGTCCCCTCCATTGGAGAGAGAGATAAGAGAGGAGAGGGAGAGAGAGAGGATGATGTGTGAACCACACATTGTAATTGACATTTGAGCTCAATATATTCTTTTGATTTGTTTTTGATATTGCCAATGACATGTGGATCCTATTTAGTTTTCTCTGATTATGATTCCATGTAAACACCAAGTACGATGAAGACTAGGTTAATGTGTCAAAGTCACTATTAATATATCAAGAGAATAAATTTGCACCGGTTTTAATAGTTTGATGAGTCGTTATACCTGGTTTTGTACGGTTAAGAGATATGAATCATATTCGACCAAAGGTTGAGGGATCCAGATTAGCCTTTTTCCCAGGCAGAAATCTATAGCGTGATGCTTATAAATCATTTGGGCCTCCGGAATAGGGGCCCGGTGAAGGTGCGGGCCGTTTGGTGACCGAAATGAGGGATAAAGGGTAGTGGGCCCACGTTGTGGCCCAAAATTTTCTTTGGAAAATGTTGCTCTCATTGACATGTGGTGCCCACCTGTCGGTCCCTCGTCTGATCATCTCATACATTTCTTCTTCTTCTTCATCGGGAGCGCCTCGGTGTGGCGGCGGAGGCGTTGGCGGCGAGCTTCTCCTCGTCGTCGTCATTCTTCACCTTCGTCGACGTCTCGATCATGCCGGATCCCTCGCCGCCTTTCCGAGCATCGTCAGTAGCCGCCGACTTGTCGCGGAGCTCCTCCGTCCATGAGGCGAGCGAAGCGCGGGTCTCCCGGCAGCAGCGCAGCGCCGGCCTCGGCTGATGCAGGCGCGCGCCTTCCACAGGTGTTGGTTGGGTCGAGGTCGGCTGCCCTGCGTCGTGCCGGCGCTGGCCGGCGTGGATGGCGTCCGTGAACAGCAGCGCCGGCCGCCTGCCCGATCGAAGTCGTCGCCGACGTTGTCCATGGCCTTTCTCTTTCTCCATGTACGCCGCGGCGGCGAGCTTCTTATGACGGCGGGGACACGTCGGATTCAGCCTTGTGGCATAGTACAAATTAAGCGAGGAATTATTTTCATATAAATTAATCTAACAAGATTGAATCCAATTAATGCAACAAATTAAGTGTTCCATGCTGCTCGACGGCATGCACAAGCACCGTATTATTAGCTGATTGATTCATCGTCGTAGTTGGTAGTAGTATTAAGAAATTATTAAACTCTACTCTAATTTGTTTGTTCCATCGCTTCATGGATCGCGTTAAGACTAAAAAAACACGGTTTGTACGTGTGCGGCGCCGCGACGTGAACGTGATTTCGTTCGTCTTGGCAAAGAAAGAAAGCCGCGTGCGTTGGCGTCGCGACGACGGGTCAATCGGGCGGGGTCGCAGGCCACACAGCAACCCGTGTGCTTTTTTCAGCTTACACCTCTACTTATCCTGTATTTCGGTGCTACTATCTACTTCTTTCGTTTCACATTGCAGGACATTTTGGGTTTTAAATAGATTCATTCATAGACCTATATATGCGTTTCATATATGTGTTCAGATTAATATGAATGTTAATGAATCTATATAAGAATACTACCTTTTAGAGCATGGGTGAAGTGCGCTATATTGTGATACCAACTACAGTGCCTCTCTTAGTAAGAGAAACATATTAGTATCCTAAACATCTACTTCAATTGTTTCATATTATAAGTCGTTGACTTTTTTATTAGTTAAAGTTATTTATGTTTGATCAAGTTTATTGAAAAAATTAGTAAAATCTATAATATCAAATTAGTTTCATTAAATTTGACATTAAATATATTTTGTAATATGTAACTTTTGTATGTTGGTATATTTTTCTAAAAACTTGGTCAAATTTAATGACTAAGAAAAAAAAGTCAAACAACTTATAATATGAAACGGAAGAAGTACTAATTAAAGAGAAAAAAATACTCTAAAGAGTGGTGGATCCATGGCATTTTTAGATCTTATACAAAATACACTACATCACTCGATACCAATGACACATGAAATTGGTATATCTTGACGTGCGCCGATGAGCCCATGTAGCTACCTAAGGCAATAGCCAATACCTCTCAAAGAGTAGGAATCTAACAGACCCATGAGAAAGATAACCTTTGCTTGCTCATCCCTCTTTAGACAATGAAGTGAAGTGCATGTAGTGGATAGAAAAACAGGTGACTGTAACATATATGTTGGCATGGACAACACGACAAGAACCACGCATATAAAGATTGGGATGGTTGCAATTCAAATATAGCCACAAACGCCTTTTTTTTGAGTTCCAACCCAAACAAGAGCATTTCCTAAAAAGAGAAAAAAAAACTAAGGAACAAAAGTTTAGATGTAAATTTCCTTTGTCGTAAACAACCCTAAGGCTATGGTCGTTTGCTGGTATTGGTAACTAATCCATCATGCATGCAAGACGAAATCACTCATTAGCGCATGATTGATTAAGTACATGCTATTTTTTTAAAAATAGATTAATATGTTTTTAAAGCAATTTTCATGTATTTTTTCTTTTTCTTTGTGAAAAAACACATATTTAGCAATTTTTAAAGTATGCATGTAAAAAATAAGGGTGACGAGTTGGAAAAACAGGGTAAAGAACACAACCTAAATATAAACCTATCGGAGATGAGCTAATATCACTTGGACTCAACTCGAACAATTACAGAAGGTCTTCTCTCAAAATAAGCAAGCTAAGAAAGGACCTAAACCCAAAACTTCCAAACACCAAAAATATTTTCTCCTCGAAAATCCAGTAACAATAATAAGTAAATAAAAAAACTAAAAAAGGAACAAAAACAGGAAAAGAAAACACGCTTCTCCCTTCTCCTCTTTTCCCTTTTTTTCCCCTCTACATCTTCCTTCCCCTTTCCTCCTCCTCCTCGTCTTCTCCTCCTCCCCACCGCGTCAAACCCCACCCCGAAGCAACCGCCGCCGCCGCCGAATCCGCCACCGGCGACCCCAATCCGCGCCGCCGGGGCCCGATCCCCACTCCGATCCGCCGTAATCCGGCCGGCCCCCCCGCGCGCGCGCGGCCGGCGGCGGCGCCGCCTTCGCCCCCGATGTACAGCAACTTCAAGGAGCAGGCGATCGAGTACGTGAAGCAGGCGGTGCAGGAGGACAATGCCGGCAACTACGTCAAGGCGTTCCCGCTCTACATGAACGCGCTCGAGTACTTCAAGACCCACCTCAAGTACGAGAAGAACCCTAAGATCAAGGAGGCCATCACCGCCAAGTTCACCGAGTACCTCCGCCGCGCCGAGGAGATCCGCGCGGTCCTCGATGAGGGGGGTGGGGGTGGTGGCGCCAACGGCGGCGACGCGGCCGTCGCCACGCGGCCCAAGACCAAGGGTAAGGATGGGGAGGGGGGTGGGGATGATTCCGAGCAGTCCAAGCTGAGGGCTGGACTCAACTCCGCCATCATCACCGAGAAGCCCAACATCAAGTGGAACGATGTCGCCGGCCTCGAGAGCGCCAAGCAAGCGCTGCAGGAGGCCGTCATATTGCCTGTCAAGTTCCCGCAGTTCTTTACGGGTGAGCGGCTGCTGCGAGGATAACCAGTATATTTTCATTCTCCTTGTTGTAGAGAATAGAGGTGATTGCAAAATTGGTGGTGGATCCGATCGTATAGGCCGTACATGGATATTGATCTCGATCAAAACGGATAGGGCGAGTATTGTTGATTGCCAACACTAATCATTCCATGTTGATGGTTGCTCGGTGTGCAGGGTTAGCTCGCGTAATTACTGTATTTTGTTTGTAGATGACTGTTTGGGTGTCGACTATAGTTCAGAGTCCACTTCTAGAGGGTGCTGGGTGCAACTATTATGTTGTGTAGTCTTGGTGGAAATCTTGAAAGTTACATCCTAGAGGATTGCTAAAATTGATATTAACATGATCTTGGTACTAGACAAACAATGTGGAGTAAAACCATAATTTACAGCTAGTAGTTTGAATTGAAAGGCAGTTATGGAAACAAGGGAAAAAATGCTGCTTTAGTGATAGGTGCATTGGTTGTTACAGTGTAATCTATAATCATGCAGCAAGTTACTAGCTTGACATACATTCAATTGTTTAATCTTGCAAATAGTTATTTTCAAATATTGAGGGTCTGTTTTCCTCGTGCTTCTAGTGACCTTCTTAATGACTTACAAGATACAGTAAGTGAATTTTCTAACAGCTACTAAGATAAAAGTACCATTATTCTCAACTCTCAACCATTGTTCAAGTGTTCATGACTAACATCTTGCGCATCTTCTTTGTTACATGATAAATTTCTCCATGGTAAACAACGACTATAAAAAAATGTGTACATGAACTCATCTTAAGTCTGGGATCTGGTGTTGTTAGCTATTTTATACTAATGGAGATTTCTTTCTTAAGGTAAACGGAGACCATGGAGGGCTTTTCTTTTGTATGGTCCACCAGGAACAGGAAAGTCTTA